AGAGCGGCAGCTGCGGCCCTCGGCACCATGGCGGCCGCTCCTTGCACGGCCCGCCAGTACCATGGCGGCAACACCTCGCACGGCCCCCCAGCGCCATGGTGGCCGCTCAGCACCATAGCGATGCCCTCTCACACGGGGCCCTCAGCGCCATAGCGATTCCCCCTCACACGGGGCCCTCAGCACCATGGCAGCCGCTCCTCACACGACGCGGTGCGGCGCCTGTGCCCGTTCTGCGCTCACTCCCCGGGCCCCTCGGGGCTCCCTCGGGCCCGCTCCCGTTTCTCCGTTCGCAAACACGGGCTGATCCCGGGAACGGCAGCTTTAGCCATGATTCGTGAGGTAGAACGGGCACTGGAGGAACGGTGCAGAGGAGCCAGGCTGCTGCTGCACAGCCACCTGCTCACAGCAGCTGTGCTCTCCACCTGTGCGCCTTCCACTGGGACTTGGTTAGTTTTTCTGTTCTACTCACACTATTTGGCAAATTGCTACTGTAATGCCTTCCTCTGGCTCCGAGTTACAGAGTGCTGAGAGTAGAATATTCTCTGAATTTGCTCATCCAACACATGGAATCTCCACAGGAAACATCCCTGGTCAATGATTAAACTACTAAAAAAACACAGCAGGAGCCAAGCTGCTACAAATAGCTACAGAGAGTTAAAAGCTATTTACGTGTTAAATTCCTTCTGTCGCTGTTTGGGACATTTGCACTCAGAAATTTTCACTGAGGGATCCCAAGAGGTACAGAACACCCCCAGCATCATACAGAGACTCCTGACCTGGGCACCTGCAGAGCCTTTACACAGCTGGACGTGTGAAGTTTGGCTCTTTGATTACCCTGATCCTGCACATTTTTCCTCACGGGTTGATAACACAGGTTTCAGGTGGATTCTAGATAGATACAATGTTTACTGAGATTAAGAAATGAAAACATGAGGAAAAACCCCAAAAACCTACCTAGGAATAATTCTACAGAATTACAGGATCCTATCAAGTAATTTGATTACATCTTTTAGGAGTCTATTAATGAGATTTCTGGTGGCAAAAGCTCAGGATAATGTTGGAAAACCTGTTATTGGCATAGTCAGCCTCTTTCTCCAGCTGTAAAACTGGCCAGTTTTAATACTTCACCCAGGAACACCAAGAGGAAAAAAATCACAACAGATTCCTGTGCAAAAGTACAAAACACCACAATTACAGGCAAGCAAGCAGAAATTCAGATTTTGTTCTGCATCTACAGAGCTGCAATAAATGAAATCACATGGAGGGGCAATACCTTCGGGTTTGGAAGATCAAGCTGCTCTGTGATTTATGCTCTGTGAAAAGCAAATAACATGCTTTTAATGGATAAATTTAGCATCTAGGGAGTGCTCAAAAGCAGGAATTATACACCAACAGAGAGGGAACACACAAAACAAGGGATTGCACAGCAGCAGTGAATGGGGGATGCCTGCCATAAGGAATCCTGCAATGAAACAGGCATAAATTCTTCTTACACACATTTAGTAAGAGGCTTACACCACTTTAACATAATGGTGATGCAATCTGTGCCCCCAGTGAGTGCCACCTGAGCACACCACATTTTCAACCACAAAACCTCTACACCTTTGTGTTAAAGCCAGTCAGAGGATCTACCTTTGCTGACTAAACATGTGTCACCATCATCAGTACCTCACCACTACCTTTCCCTGCCTCGTTGTGTTCCTAATTCTTTTCCTGTTACAGCCTAACTTCCTTTTAATTTGGGAAATTTAGTCCTGGGTTACTGGTCTACATCACCCTGGCAGCAAAGCAGGGGGATCTTTTTTGGTTATAATGTGAGTTTCGTTTCCCTTTAGGCCCTCTCACCTATAACATAACCGGTAGTTTGTAACTGGTTTGAAATGAAAACTGCTGGGAAATTCTAGCAGGGATTAATAACCATCGATCAGCTTATAAAAAAGTCTAATAAGCACATTACTATTTCTCCTCCTCAGGCACCAGAGAAGCTTATGCTGAGATACCTACAAATCACTCAGCACTAACTCTCCTTAAAACTTTTTTCCACTTCCTTCCAAAACCTTTTGGGTGGTCAGTGCACTGACTTTGCTCTGCAGATGATATACCTTATTTATGCCTTGGGCTTCCCTAGTTAATGTTTGTTTTTTTTAACTTTGGGTTTCTAAAATTGGCCTCACTTATATTTTTAGTGTCTCACGCAAGGGTTGTTATTTATGACCCATAAAACTTTCTGACAAACACTAAGACATCACTGCTGTGTGGCACAATGTCCCCAAATCTGGGATGTCACTTCTCACCCACCTTCCCCTTAAACACTGTTTGAAGATGCACAACGTTTAAATATAAATACACTTATTTTATGTTCATTCCTTCCCTCAGTTCTCTGTCACTGATTGCTCTGAGTGAGCCAATTGCAGCAGCCAGGAAGAACTGAAGAGTCAGCCCATGAAAAGAGCATGGAAGAGAGCAAACGAGCAAGTCCTTATCCCTCCTCAGTCTCTAGTGATTTTGTTGTATTTAACAGATAATTAATACATTTAAGTCAGAAGAGACTAATTTCTCTTGGCTCTGCTCCAAATTTACCTTTTTTTTTTTTAGTGGAAAAAGGCCTCTGTCCTCAGAGCTCTGCACATCACAAAATAGACATGTCAGGTGTCAAGGTAATGCCTCTTCGGGATTCTTGATTCTCCAAGGCTCCTGATACTTATTTTCCAAAAAGACTAGATGAACACAGAGAGGTACTTTAATGAGGGTTAATCACATTCACATAAATTAAGTAAACCCCTTCTTTACCAGCTGGCACAAACTTGCAGAATATTCTCCCTCTCCAACTCTAGGTATTCCTTACCTTCAATATAACCATTTTTGTGACTGCTCCTGGAATTAGTGACTTTGGTTTGGGATTCACTCCATGTAACTCTAAATATTAGTCATCAAAACCCCTCTTTGAAACTAGGATTTAACAAATTCTAATTCATGTAAAAAACCTATAAACTGCACTTACAGTTATCATAGGTTTCTGTTAATCCCAATTTTGTCATCTTGTCCCCCAGAAATCCAGCTTTCCATGATACTACTGCCCTCATCAAAGTAAGATTCTTGTAGGACTGTGGCATATGGAAGCCATATTTTGGGATAATTTCCCAAGAGCGAAGTAGTCATGCATTTTAATCCAACTTGGGAGTCACAGCAGTACCCTGCAAAGTTTACCCTGAGCAATAAAAGAAAGGTTTCTATCCCACTTTTGGGAGAATTACAAAGGTTTTTAACAGAAGTCAGTGTTTGGTGCCAGGAAAAGACAGAACGATGTAGAAAACCTTTTCCCCTGCATTGTTGCACATCTTTGGATTTTCCTAGAGTATAAAATAAGTATAATTTATTACTCAAGATACTGCTCAATTCCCTAAACATGCAGAATTTTCATTGCACTCTGAGCATTAGTAGGGGGGGGAAAGGCATGGATCAAGATTTCCATCCCTGGCAGTGTTCTAGGCCAGGTTGGACTGGGCTTGGAGCAACCTTGTCCAGTGGAAGGTGTCCCTGCCCCTCTATCAGTTTGAAGCTATTCTTCCTTTTCCTACCACTGTGGTTCCTGATGAAATGCAGCTGGCCATGATATTCTACATAGAATCAGGACTTAAGACTTTGTTCTTTGTGTGTCTCTTCCAACTCAGGATATTCTATGGTTCTAATAAATTATATATTATATTGTAGGTTTTTTTCTGTTTCAACATAAGCATAATTGTAATGAAAGTGAGTTTTGGAGCCTGGGCTTTATTGCAGTTACAAAATCAAGAGTGAAAAGTGCACAATTATGTCCACATTCCCCATCTGTGTGAGTGAAATTACATTTTCCTGAGAAGTACCATTTGCAGCCTTTCACACAGAAAAGTGTACATTTAAAGCCTGTTCTCCCTTTAAATGTACAAATCTAGGTTTTGTTGCGAAATGTGGAATTTATTAAATTTTCAGAAGGGAAGATATTCTTTGAAGTTTTGGAGAAGTTAACAAAGCTTGATAAGAAGGATGTACCAATAATAGTGGACAAAAAGAATGCAGAATTCATGGGCCACAAGGCCATCTGACAGAACTCCAAGGTAAGGAAGACACTAATAAAGCCAATTCAGCAATTGTTCTGAAATCAGCTCCAACTAGGTTAAAGGTAATTAGGGCAGGGGCAGATCGTGACCACTGATGGATCCAAAGGAAAAGACTGAGCATGCGGGTTAATCAACTTGTAGCCAATGAACACTAATTCGTTTGCTAAAATGTATAAATAGTAAGAAATTTTGATAGTTGGCGTGCTGGCTCTGTGGATTTGCCACCTAGCACCCGTTTATGCTCAGAACTGTAAATAAATCAAATACCTCGACAATGTGTGTGGATTGGCTTCTTGTTCACAGGGTGCAAGAACCTATTTTGGCAACATTGTGTTCCTGCTTTTTCGGCAGTGACCTACAAACCTCGGAGTGGGTTCAACGCCTCAGCAGCCACCACGCGTTTTGGCAGAGACCATTAATCCTCAGCCAGGGCAGTTCGCAGCCGAGCCGATCAACACACGTGGGAACTGCCGGGGCGGCACAGGGATATCCGCAGGCTGTGCCCTGCCTGTTTCCCTGGCAGATGGCGGGGCCGCAGCTCCCGCGGCCGCTCTCCACAACCGCTGACCCCGCTGTGTCCGCGCAGGGGCCGCCACCGCCGCCTCACACGGCGGTTCCTGCGCCCCTCGCGCCGAACACGGCCCGGATCAGCCTCTGCCTCAACTGCTTGCGGCGGGGCCGGCGCTCAGTGCCGTGAGCCGAGCGCGAGCGGGCACGCAGGGCAGGAGGAGGAGGAGGAGGAGGGAGGCACGTCTCTCAGGGCCCCGCGGCCGCCATGGCCGCCCCCGCCGCCTCCGCGCTGCCCCGGCTCCGCTCCGCCGTCGCGAGCTCTCGCCCGCTCCCCGCGCGCTGATTGGCCGCGAGCGCCGCTCTCGCGAGACCCGCGCGCCTGCGGCCCGGCGGAGGCGGCGGAGGCCCCGCGTTCGTGCGTCGGAGCGGCCCCGGGCGCGCGCGGTAAGATGGCGGCGGGGGGGCCGTGCCGGCCTCGGGGCACGGCGGGAGGGGGGCCCTCACCCTGACCCGGACCCGCCGGACCGGCCGGCGCTCGCCCGCCGCGCCTGCTGCGGAGGCGCCGGGCCTGTGGCGAGCGGGGCCCAGCGCTCCCGTGGCCCAGCGCCCCTGTGGCCCGCGCAGGGCCGGGCCGGGCCGGGCCGGGGCGGCGGGGGAAGCCGGGTCCGCAGCGAGCCGAGCCGGGCCGAGCCGAAGCGGGCCGCATCAGCGTGGGGTGGCGGGAGCCCCGTTCGCTCAGTGCGGTTGTGGGAGGCAGAACGCGAGGCCGGGAGCGCTCGCGGCCCGGGCGGATCGTGCTCCCGGTGTCGGAGTTGCCGGGTGCGGGGCGGCTTCGGCCGCGGCTTCGAGAAGGGAGAACCTGTTGGAAGCGGCTCGCGATGAGGAGTCGCGCTGCCGCTCGTGTTGTCTGACAGGGGTGGCGGTGCCTGTTGCTGTTGTTGTGGCCGTCTGTCCTCCCCTTTCCCTGCCCCCGTGGTCGTGACTTGGAAGTGGAAATCATTAAATGCAGCTTTAGTAAAATGCTTTGCCTGCCGATCCGAACAAAAATATTGTCTAGAAAAATAGTGGAGATAACGTTTTAGTAGCGCTGACAGGAGAACTTTTGGGGGCAGCAAAGCTGAGCTGGTGTAAAGCTTTGAGTTGGGTAATACGTCATGGGCAGTTTTGTAGTTGTGCAATATAGGGAGCTGTCCGAAGTTTTGGTGAATATTTAAAGCAGATATTGTTTATGTAGGCATTGCTATAAGTGTTTGTCGCAGTTTTTCTGGCTGTCAAACTCTGGTTTGCTGGTTTCGGACTGTGATGCATGTCCTGTGTAAATTCTATGCAGGATTTATATGGAGTGGATTTAAGAGTAAGTACAAGAAGATGGTACTTGAATTTTTTTGTTCCGAGATTTCTGAAAGCAGCTTTAGAGCCTGGCAAATAGATATGGGAGAGTGCAGGAATGAGGAGGAAAAAAATAGAAAACTGGTTTAAAATAAAAAGGTCAATTTTGGATTATTAATTTAAAAGAGCTCATAGAAAGCTTTAAAGATGGCAGGAACACAATTCTTACGCACATTAAGTTTATTTCTTCTTGAATCATGTTAAACTAGATGCTTTTCTTTTGTAGTTGGAGTCCAGGATGAGTTATGCAGAAAAACCTGATGAAATCACGAAAGATGAATGGATGGAAAAGCTTAATAACTTACATATCCAGAGAGCAGACATGAACCGCCTTATCATGAACTACCTTGTCACAGGTAAAAACGGGTGGTGATGCCTGGAGGCTCTTAATGTGTGTCACATACTTTATCGGTTTGAGGTAGAATATGGAACTGGATGGAGTGGAATTAAAGGCTGTGAGAACTTTGTAATTGTTTTTGGCTTCTGTTCAGCAAAGCCCAACTGCTCTGGTGTTCTCTTAGCTGCAGACCAACAAAGAATCAGAGACTGAGCAGCTCTCTTCGAGTACAGATGACATTTATGAGCCTGAACTCTTCTGCTAAATGATAAAGTGTTTTCTGCAGTGCTGTAAACATGACCTGCTTCTTCGTGATGTCCTTTTTTGTGCCATTGAAACAGCTCAAGATAAGTTGCTGTTGTTAAATAACAGTCTGAAAGCTGCAAGAGCTATCAGAAGCAAGTTTTTAACTGGGCAGAAAGATAAATTCTGAAAGGGCACTGTTGTCAAAATAATTTGAGACCCGAATATTAACCCCTTCTGCACATGGCCTGTATAAATACTTGGAACAACCCAAACGCCTTGGGAATTATTGCTAGTAATTAGTGCATGCCATCCCAGGAAGCTGTGCTAGGGCGGAGGTGTTTGTATCCATCTACACCCCTGTTTACACTGAGCGTAGGTGAAGCCTCTGGGTGGAAGGAAGAGAATCTTAGTGGGTGGTGTAAATCAGTTTTGTGTCTATGAAAACAAGGCCTGGGATTTAACAGAGCTGTTATAACCGTGAATGCTACACAAGAAAGCAAAATTATTTCGTCTTGTCTATTTTCTTCTCAGAAAATCTGCTGGATCTGTGTAAACAGATCTGGGGCTGGAGGGCAAAGCAAAACCACCCACTTGAAAATGAGACTTTCACAATCTCATTCTGCAATAAGCACAGTGCTTTATTTAAGTATAAAATAGGCTTCCATGTTAAGAGGTATTGGAATACAAATTACTTCCCTGGAGAGTGAGCATACATGAGTTCAGAATTAATTAAGCATTTACTCTTAGATGCTTACTGGATAAATGACTTCTTATATAGAGAATAATTTTTCACAATCTTGGGTTAATCTTTAAACCTCCAAAATTGCGCAAGCAACACTCAAATACTTTCATTTAAGATGACAGATTTTCATCTAAAGTGTTTCATACAATACATTGTATGGGCAATATGTTCCTATTTCAGAGGGCTTTAAAGAAGCAGCAGAGAAATTTCGGATGGAGTCTGGAATTGAACCCAGTGTGGATTTAGAGACTCTGGATGAAAGAATAAAAATCCGTGAGATGATCTTGAAAGGACAGATCCAGGAAGCCATTGCACTGATAAACAGCCTCCATCCAGAGCTGCTGGATACCAACAGATATCTCTACTTTCATTTGCAGGTGAGGACAGTTGGCGAACTTTTATCTTTGTCTTAGAGTTTGCTGAGAGGATGGGAAAAATAGTGAAGAAATTAAGGTTATGTTGGGAGGTTTGTGACTGAACACGGATGCAGTTGTGGGTGTTCTTGGCATTTTTTTGTAGCAATGGGAAACTTTGTGGCATGGTGCAGGAGCCGTCATACACATTTATTAACATGAAAACTTGTAACAGCAGCAGTGGCCTATGAGTTACCAGCTTCCAGTTGCTGTTGGTCTGAATTCCTTTACTAACCCATCTTCTCAAACCCTATTATTCAAAACCACCCGGTTCCCTTTTTCAGTAGATTTTGCAGCCAAGTTGCTGCTCCTTGTCTCACACATTGAGATGAATTGACCTCAAACTGTCAAATTACAGATTAGTGTTTGTCTCAAATTACACACCAGTGTCTGAATCTTCCAGGCTCGAAATAGTGGAAGGTTTGTTAATTTGTTGGGCTAATATTGCTGTGTCTTTCGTGTGTAGCAACAGCACTTGATTGAACTGATTCGGCAGCGTGAGACAGAGGCAGCTCTGGAATTTGCTCAGACCCAATTAGCAGAACAAGGGGAGGAGAGCAGGGAATGCCTGACAGAAATGGAGCGCACGCTGGCTCTGCTTGCCTTTGATAATCCCGAAGAATCACCATTTGGAGACTTGCTGAACATGATGCAGCGACAGAAGGTAGTCCTTTCTCAAAGGGAACTGATGTCTTTTATATGTATGTTATGAAAATAAAATCTAAATATTTTTGAAATGCTTAGAAAAAACTTACATAGCGATATGCAAAAGAACAGAAGTGTTTCTTGAGCAAGATTTTTAAAAATGGTGTTAATATATTCCGAATGTACTCAACTACTTGGCTCTCTTCCTTGCTTTCTCCATGCCTGTAGTCTGTGGAGTTTTGTCCTGGCCATTTCTAAGGAAGTAGCATACTAGGTGTGATCTTCCCATGTCTGTGTGACTTTAGCAGTGTTAATCCTATGGAAACTGTCACTGAACTCCAGTTTTTCTTTTCCAGGTGTGGAGTGAGGTTAATCAAGCTGTTCTAGACTATGAAAATCGTGAATCAACACCCAAGTTGGCAAAATTACTGAAACTACTACTGTGGGCTCAGAATGAGCTGGACCAGAAGAAAGTGAAATACCCCAAAATGACAGACCTCAGCAAGGGGACGATTGAAGAGCCCAAGTAAAGTGTGTGCAGATGGACATAAAAAAATCTTAGTACTGCACAGTATACATTTATATCAGTCTGTGACTGAAATATTTTTACTACAGTACAGCACTCAATTCAGATTTTTCAATGAACATCTAATTTGAAGGGAGAAAAGTCCCTTTTAAATGCTGCAAAAACTGCATTGAAAGGCGCTGTATCTCTTTGGAAGTCTGACTTAGGCTATGCACTATAATACATTTTTAAAAAAAAAACAATTAAACAGGACAGGAAAAATAGCATTTTTAAAAGTACAGAATTCAAGCTTTCTAATTGGCTGCTGATGCCTAGTTTAGTGGCCAGTGAGTTAATATGGAGTTATATTGGCAACTGTTCAGTTTAACTGTCTCCTGTTTGAATATTTTCTACCTTTAAGTTATAGCCAGATATACATTCCCCTTAAAAGTAACTGGTCAAGTTTTCATCTATAAACTTTGCAGTAAGGTCAAACTTTTGCTTAGGAAATAGTGTACAAACTTGTAAATCATAATTTAAGAACTTTTGTTTTGTTTTGTTTTGTTTTTCTTCCTTGTTTCTGACTTCTTGGTGCTTTATATGGTGAGAGCTGTGTTCATAATGGATCAGTGACCCATCTTTTCAGGAGGAGTATTGATGGAAATAGGTTTTTTCTTAATATTCAAAAATGACCAAAATGGCCCCAGAGGCATCTGAGGGGTTTTTTTTAACAGGGGCCTTTTCCCCCCCATGTTAAATTTGCAGCGATTCCAGGTGGCTGCTACAGCTTTGAAAGCCACTGGATGTCTGTAAGCTGAAAGACTCATGTTAGGAAATCAAGTGGTGGAGAGGGATGCTTGTTGAAGCCTCTGATGTATCATCTTGTGCAGGATCTGCCTTCATGCTTGCTGAATAAGAATTGTAGTTTTAGAGCTACTTGGGCTGTTATGCCTTGAACTAAGCAAAGCAGGGCTGTCTAAAAACAGAAATTTGCATTTTCTCACTTCTTTCATACCTTTCTGAAGAGATGCAGTTCATCCTCATCTGTATTTGTTTACTGACTGTCCTCACTCCAGTTAGAGCTATAGTTTTAATGTGAAGTCCAGACTTTCAAGTCAACAAATAGTAATCTTCTGGGTATGGGATGTTCTGGTTGAGTGATTGCAGTGCTGCACACTGGTTTATACCCAGTGGTAGGAAGCACTAATCTTGCCAAATCTATCTCTAGATTTTTAGGCCTATAGATCAAGTTTTGCCAAGCACAGAGCAAGCTAATGAGTGAAACAGTTTAACATCATGAGACACTGGCAGTTGTCACAGCAGTCCCATACTGTACATAATCTAGTCTTGTATGGTAGGTATTACCCTGTAGAATGAAACTTAGTTTTCACTTAATTTTACTGGAATACTTAATGCATTAAACTGTATAAAGCTTTGCAGATACACCTGGCTTAGGGGAACTAACAAAACCTGTTACTGATTGCATTACTGTGAACACTGTTTACTTGTGTAGCTATTTTTGGGGGGGAAGCCATTGTTAAGCAGCTGGGAGAGATGCAGAGCGCCAAGGTTAAGCGAGATGATGGATGTAACAAAATCAATCATTTGTTCCCATTTCTTACTGATCGTTCTGTTCTCCACTTTGAGGCATTTATGGTAGGGATGTCTTCAAGTTTATATATAACAAACAAGCTATCAGTAGCCCCCCAGCTACAGCAGCAGTCTGACTTTCCTTACCCAGGCTGGTTATTCTAACACCAGACTTTTAACAGTTGTGGGTTTGGTTGTTTTGGGGTTTTTAATTTTTTTTTTTTTTCTTTTTGAAGTCGGTTGATGTCTGAAAACCATGTATAACTTTTAGTTTGTGAGAAACTGTATGGTTAATGTAACTGTTTAATAACAAACTGCAGAAACAAAACTGGAATAGCTCTAATTTCTTCATGTAGAACTGATCAGCTTTTCCTCTCTGTTCTGACACTTGTGTTGTTGAATCTCCTGTAAAGCTTCTCCCTGGTGAAGTGGAAAGTGGTGCGGTTTTGTGGCATGATGAGCATTTTTCTCCATGAGAAATGCAGTATTACAACCCTGGGTGAGAAGTTCACTGTCCTCCTAGAACGCTACCTTAATTCCATAGAGTATTTGGGCAATGATTGAGCATAGATTACTTGAATTTCCTCTAGCTTGTTTTTTTCCATTTAAAAATAAATAACGTTTTTTAAGGGGTTTAATATAAAATTAGTCTAGAACTATTTCACTTTGTTTTTATGAACATGCCACATTGATAAGCAGCTTTAATCTGTAAAGTTTTTGGTAACTGCAAGAAGATACTCGAAAGCTATGCATTTTAGAGAAAGCATAAAGGTAGTGATATTGGTACTTCTAAGGATCTTTATATTAGTGTATATAAAATAGTTTGCATATACAAATATAATATATAATCTGTTTGAAATATTCTTGAATGGTAGGGGCTGTGAAACATATTATAATTTATGGAAATATTGTACACAGTAAACAGACGTCTCAGTACACAAACGAATTTTTGTCATATGCATGAGAAGTGTCTTATTTGGTGACTACTAATGAATGGGCTTTTGTTAACCCATTTTTTGTTAGATAACCACTTTAACAAATACTATTAAATGCCACTTTGATCAGTTTGCTTTAGTGTAAAAATACATATTTTGTTCCACTGAATTTAGAACCATATGAAAAAAAACTTTTGTAAGAAGATTTGTTCCAAACCCAACGTTGGCAAACAGATCTGCTCATTAGAGGTGGTGGACTCATCCTCCCCCAGCCTTGCCTTTGGTGAAAGCAATTAAGATTTTTTCATTCATGCTATGGATGTGGAGAAGCTGGATTGTAAAACATCCTGTCTTATACCTCTGCAGAAAGGCTGCATAGCAAGTGTGTTTTGATTAGGCTACAAATCTCCCTCCTTTTCCCAAAGCCATCACCTCCCTGTAACTGTCTTTGCTGTTCCGGTGTTTTGTTTCTGCCTGTCAAATCTAAGCTGAGCTGTGGCTGCTTCTGTTGTACAAAGGAGGGATTTCGGAAGGGTGGGGGTTCACAGACTTCTCTGAAGATGAAATTGTGGTGGTACTTTGAAAAATACTTACTGAACAGTTTAATTTTCTATAGTTGGAAAAGAAAAGGCTGCTGCACAGAAACTTAACAGCAGAATTTTGAGTAAAGCATTTCCTCCCGAGACTTTTGAAGAGGCAAACGTACACCTTTAAGCCAGGTGAAGTACCTCTCTCTCTTTAAGATGATTTCGTTGAAACACTTTCAGCTTCTTCCACCCATATTAAAAGAAAAATTGGAAAGAATCTTCCTCCTTTCCACTCCTTGTAAATACAGGAAAAGCCACTACATTATTCCAGGGTGATTTTATTGTTTTTAATTTGTAAAATTTATGCTTTGTATGCTTGAGTATAAGCTTAAAGGCATTACTTAAAAAATTCCTTGACTAGCTAAGTGTTGTTCGACTTATTTCAAACCACCTTGTGTCCAAGTGGGTTACAAAGCTCATTAAATGGAGTTGGATCCCTGTGTGTTGTGTCTTCACGGGAAATGGGGCTGCTGCTGTCAGCCACGGCTGAGAGCATCCTTGAGAGCCAGAATAGAACCGGATATGGAGTCCTATTTGCCCTGAATCTGCCTTGAGGTTACAGGACCTGCACTGTAGCTCTCTCTTCCCTCCAGGAGCGACACCATGTCAGGAATTATTTCTGCCCTGCTGTCCTAAACAAAAAGGGACAAGGAGGGTTTGTAGCTTTTGTGTGAGATGGTGTCCCCAGCCCTGCTCAGTGCTTGGTGTGCTCAGCTGAGCAGAGGCAGAACACAAAGCTCATGAACAGCACCCTCTGGATTTGTACTTCTCCATGAGCACCTCGAGGTGCTACAAAATATTCTTAATTCCTTTCTGCTCTCCTGCTGCCTTCACCTGATAAAGTTAAGCACAAAGTTGGTCAAACCATTGGTGGGCTGCATGTTGATGCTTTCAGGCATCTCAGACCAGGAAGCTCTGCATGTTCTCTTATGTTCTTCATGAGGATTACAGCATGATTCCAACAATAGTTACATGAGGATTCCAACAATATCCTGCTACCTTGCCTCACCTGGATGAATTGCTGCTTTCATTTACAAGCAGGCTCAATTTGCCAACTTCTCTGATAATTTGAGGGTTTTTTTCAGTGTATTGCTGCCTAGTAATTTTGCCAAGTTGGATTATTTAGCACTAGAAACCCATGTTTGTTTTCTTTATTGTGTGGAGTAGTTGCATTGAAACTGCTATGGGTTAGGGAGCTTTCAAGCTGCAGTCACTGTCCTTTCAGGAGACAACAATTGTCCTTCAGGGAATGTATGAACCTATTGATCCTTTCACACCCTTTCAGGATTTTTTCCTGAATCTCTGCTTAACTTCATAAAATCTTCAAATAATTCCAGTGTTGAATAAACTGCAGGGATCGTAAATGTCAGGTCAAATATTAACCAAATAATCTTTTGTTTGGTTTAATCTTTTGACAGGTTAAGCTGAACACAGGAAAAATGAGAGGAGGTTGTATTCTTGTATTCTTTCCTTTAGTCAGCACCTGTCCTCTGAGATGATTCCATTTGTCATTTAATCAGCTTGGTGGGAGGTTTGCTTATAGAAAACCATACAGCAGTAAAAGGAACGATGTCTGTGTATTTACTCTTTAAACTTGTTTATGTGAATGTGATGGATGTTGCACTCAAACACTTTGAATTGCAGCTGGTTTTGACAGTGAAATTAGCTTCTTATCTGAGAGGCAGATTAGTCAAGCTCCTAATTGAAGAGGTGACACTGAGCAGGACAAGGAGAGGAACCAAAGAGTACAAAAATCATGAAAACTTGTGCTTGATTTCCAAATCGACTACTTACTCACTAAAAGTATGATTCATTGTTGCAGTGTCAGTGTCACCCCTCAGCAGTGAGACTGGACACAGGATGTCTCATACTGGCTATGAGTTCATAAGTTTTCTGGGTCTGTGGTTCCTCTACCATGCCCAATGGCTCTTCAGTTCTTTTCTGAGCTTATTACATGGATTTCACTTCTGTAGTTACGTCAGAGCTCATCTCCCCTCGTGCCTCGAGTTAACTGATCTCCAAACATACCCACAATTTAAAAAATCCAAAATACATTGAGCAATGGTTTACATTTTTGGCTGCAATTTGCCATGACTTGGCTCCCTCTTCTGGAAAATGGGAGCAGAGTGAATAAAAATACTTCTTAGTTCGTTTCCTGCCCAAGTAAAGTGAGGACACCTACACGAAATGAAAGCTGAGGTGGTTTCTACATGTGGTTCCCCTCGGTCTCTACTTGCAGCAAAGCTCGTTATATTAGTGTTCAGGTCTGTGTGACCGTGCCTGACCATGCCACAGGCCTTTTGGAGAAGTTATCTTTTTTTTCTGAGGAAGAAATACCAAAGGATAAAGCATGACTTGATTTTTGCTTTTTTAATAATCTCCTTCTCCTGGAGCTGTCTTTGGTGTGTAAGGAACCTTTTTGCTCTTTCACTCTCAAAGCTTCAGCTCAATAATAGTGTTATGCCTCCTGATTTATGTAGCAAACTGTTCGTCAGGGAGTTGCCAAGGGATTCATGTTGGGAGAAGGGTATTTGAATTACCTAAATATTAGTCTGCTAAAGGCTTAATTCCACCAAGAATTTAGAGGTTTCTGGCTGCAGGAATAGCAGACGGGAGGTGTCTGCCCTGCACCTGCACGTTTTGGTGCAGCCCAGCAGGGCTGGTACCTTTCCCAGGGGCCATGCACGACCTTGCTCAGGCTGTGCAGGAGCTCCTCCATCCTTTGCTCACCTGAAGTTTTGCCCTTCCTGCTTCCAGGCTGCAATCGGCCACAGCATCACCTGAACAATGCCTCAACAAGGCTCCTCCGCCTGCTCATTCGTGATCTTTAAGTGAGTCACGACTTATTTTGTTGTGGACTGAGATAACCATCATTTAAATTGTTTATTTCCATAAAGGAGTTTGATTATCTCTTTCAGATACAGCAAGGCAGCACCTCTATCCAACAGACATAAATCAAGCTGTAACACTTATCCCTATTTATTTTATCTTCGGAAGCCAATGTCATACTCACTTCTAATCCTTAAAAAGCAGAAGCAGAGACTTTTCTGCTGGCAAACCCGTGAGAGCTGCTGGAGCAGGGAGTGATTCCCTGCCCACGTATGAGAGCTGGAGGACAGATCTGGGCCCGTCTCCTCTTTCATGCCCAGGTATGGGAACAGGAGGACAGATCTGGGTCCATCCCCTCTTTCCTGCTCAGGTATGAGAGGGGGAAGACAGATCCGAGCGCGTCCCCTCTTTCATGCTCAGGTATGGGAACAGGAGGACAGATTTGGGTCCGTCCTCTCTTTCGTGCTCAGGTATGGGAGCAGGAGGACAGATTTGGGTCCGTCCCCTCTTTCCTGTCCAGGTGTGGGAGCGGGAGGACAGATTTGGGTCCGTCCCCTCTTTCCTGCCCTCGCTGTGGCCGATGGGGGTGTCCGGAGTTACTGGAGGAGTGGGACCGAGCAGAACCCGGCGGTTCGCCGGTGCCGGACGGGGCGAACGCCCCCGCCACGGGCTGGCACCTGTCCCTTTCGGAGCCCTCTCGCTCTGCGGGTTCGGGGCCGCAGACCGGGACCGGCACCGGGCCGGGCGGGACTTCCCGGCAGGGCGGGCGGGGGCGGCGGGAGGCGCTGACACGTGGCCGCGGCCCGGCAGGGGAGGGAGGGAAGGAGGGACGGAGCCGGCGGCCGCCGCGATGTGAGCCGGGGAGGCGGAAGGCGCTGCCCGCATGGCCGCGGGGGGCGGCGGCAGGAATGTGCCCCTGGGCAGCGGCCCCCGCGACGGCATGAGGCGGGATGGCGGCACCGAGCCCTACTGGTCCAGGTAAGGCTGGACCCGCTCCCGGGAGAGCCGCTCCGCTGCTTGCGGCGCTCTCCCCGCTCTCCCCGCATCCCCTCCCGGCCCCGGCACCTCCCGCATCCCGGCTCCCCGCAGCTCCTGGGAAAGATGCGGCTCCGGGATGGAGGGGATCGGGCGGCCCGCACCGCTCCTGGACAGGCGATTTCGGGGGTGCTCGGTGCTCCCCGTCGGGCCGGGACCCTCCTGTCCCTGTCCCCGTTGCTGCCCTCCGGGACGGACACGGTCCCACCGCTCCGGGCGGTTCCCGCTATCTCACTCCTCCGGACTCCAGCAGAAGGAGGGGGGAAGATAGGGAATTACTGTGAAAAACAGGGAAACAAACAAACAAACAAACAAACAAACCATCTATTGAGCTTATTTCTGGCCTGTCATCAGTGAATTAAAAACAAAACCGCTATGAGGTTTTTATCGAAGTGTTCCAGTGGAGATGTTTGTACTGGCGATATTCATTCATTAAGATAAAGTCTGGGCAGCAGCTAGACAGTATGAATTACTCTTGATGTAAAGTCATTAAAATACTTAAAATGCAATTAAACCCCAAGTGACCACTTTTAACAGCAGGGGAACAGGCAAAGGCGGGTGACCCAGTGTTTGCAGCAGACTGGGACACTTGGGGCGGTGCTGCCCCTCTCTGCCACCCTGGGAAAGTCATCCAGCGCCAAGACCTCAGGGTCAGCCCCTTTCCCATCTGAGGTGGGATGAGATGATGATTCCAAAGTACCAGTGGGACGGCTGGAATTCATAGTCAGAGGCTTTTCCAAACTGGGAGCCCCTGGACTCCCTGCGCTTTAGAAATTTGGCTCAGTTTCAGCTGACTGATATCTGGCTGCCACCGTGGTGGCACCTGGGGTCCTCTCTTCCCCTCGCCTTGGGATCACACTGGTGAATTCTGGCAGGAGAGCAGCGGGACAGCCGTGCCAGTGCACAGGAACACGAGGCCAAGGGAAGGGATTGCCCCTTCCAGCAGCAATCCGCCGCTGGTCAATTGGTGTTTATCACCCAGCGCTTTCTGCAGTGGCAGCACGCTGATAGCTGGCTTTAAACTGCCAGTCAGACTGGGAGGTCTCATCAAATCCACGATCACCTTCAGAGTAACGGGGTGGATTTTAAAGAAGACCTTTGGCACGGAGGCTCTTAACATTTGAAGATTCTTTCCCCCTAAAGCACTTAGGAAAATTCCCTCTCTCTGTCTCACCCTTGCTAACTTTCCCCTAAGTCTTTGTGAAGTGGAAATGATGGGACCCCAGACGAGATTTTCAAGAGGCAAAACTTTAGTTTATAGGTTTCTCCTCTAGGGAAAACAAAACAAAACAAAACAAAAACGGAACAAGCCCTCCTGTTTCTCAAATCTCCTTTGAAAAATGCAAAACATAGATAACACTTTCCAAAACAAAAGGGACGAAGACAGCCTGTTGATCGAGACAGACATTTTAAGTGATTCTTACCATGCTAAGTGCTGCTAATAATTGAGAGAATCCTGTTACTGGGAAGGAGCAGCAGGATAACCCTAAGGCATGTCAGATCATTATCTATATTGCTGTAGTTCACAGAAGCTGCGATCCTGTCCCCGTTGTTTAGTGTAGACACACAGGTGGTCACCGCCCTTCTTTGGGGAGGTTTTATGGAGGTTTTATCACCTAAAGTAAACTGGGCAGGTGGAGGGTAAGTAAGAGGGAGCAGAAAGGGGCAATGAGCCACCAGATCATTCGAGCAGGTTTGTCAGGTTGTATAAGGCACCTCATTGGGTGAAATGAATTTGGTGGACAATTTGTGAACAGTATATACAAATAAATAACTTTCGTAGTTTCCAAGCAGTGAGGTATTGCCATGGAGGCAAGGTGTTATCAAGTGAGGGAAGTGGCATGGGTTCTTCTTTCATGCTCCAACAAAAGACATGCCAGGCAGCCTTCCAAGATCTGTCAGTGCAAAGAGAGAGAAACAGTTATCTTGGCAGGTTTATTTTTCTGTCTTTGTTCATGCTGCTTCTTCTTTTGCCCTCCCTTTTTTTCAACTGGCTTTTCCTTCCTCTTCCACTCTTCCTGCCTTGTGTTTTCTCCTGCCTGCCTTTCCCAGACTTCTCTGCAGGTTTCCAATGGCTCCATTATCACATCTCTTCCAAGAACAGCACTTGGAGATTTCCATTTGGGGCTTGAAAAAGCCTTCGTGCTTATGTAGCACATCTGGGCAGACAGAGAGCATTTCTTAATGTTGATCCTAACATGCCAAAGCAGGACCACTCGGCAGTGGATGTGTTTAAGCATCTCTGGTTTAACTGAGGGAAGACCAAATCAATGAAAAGAGAAATCAGTTGCTGAAGGTTGCACGCAAAGCCACCATCAGATCCAGCAGTGGATGTGGGGCTCACATTTCGGATGGTGCCTCCAGGAGGGAAATGCAGCATGAAAAAGTCTCTGTGTCCCGGGGAGCAAATGACTCCTGAAGCCACTCTGCATCTCCCAGCCTCTGGCTACACCTGAAGACAAAGGGTGATTATAGCAGTTTCTTTAATCTCCAGAGATAAAAGGAGTCCTACCCTGGCCACAGGCTGGTCTTCAGTCACCTGATCTTTGCCCAGAGACAACAGTCAGTTGTTTTTTCTGAGTTCTCTGCCCTCATCTTTTGTCAACATGATGTTGCAGCTTTAGCTGGTTGGGGTAACCTTGGTGGCTGGAATTTTTGTTTTACAGGTTCCTCACAAGTGACCTTGCTGAGAATTTTTTTCACATGGAAAACATAAGCAGGGCACACAGTGAATTCCTGGCTGATCCGTGTATGCCCTCAGATCAGTGTGCAAAGCACGCCTCTGCTTTATTATTATGTTTTCTCACCACCTCCACCTGGGCTCAACAACTACTTCCAGCTCATATGAGCTGCTGAAATCTAATTTCATCTTTGCTTTTGCCAAAAGCAAGAAATGAAGAGAGGGAATAAACCCAGAGCTCGTTTGTTGAACACCACTTTGTTGGCATCTGTGGCTCTGTGGAGGGAGCTTGAGCACAGGAGGCAGACAGGAAGCCAGCAGCTTTCCCAGGAAAAAAAAAGCTCTGTGTCCTCTGTGCTGCTCTTGTTGGCTGCTAGCTGGATTGGGAAAAGAAATCCAACAACTCTCCTCTAAACCCCAAAGCTACTTTTGACAGTGACAAATCATTAGCTTGGAGCTGGTCAACAGCATGACAAAATCTGTTTGAGGAGAGGGGGAAATTACTCCAAGCCTCTCTCTTGACAAGCATGTTAGATTTTGAAGGAGAAATTGTTGAGAAAAACAAAGAGTGAGAAGTGAAAAGACTGTCAAACAGGGTTAAAAATAACAACCTGGGTATTATCTCCTGGCACAGGAGTGTCTGCAACTGCTGCTGTGTTGGTGCCACGTCAGTCAGTCCTGTTTGTGGTGGTGACTGTAAATTAAAGCTAGAGGCAGGTAAGCTGGAAAGGAGTGTTTTTGAAGGGAGATGATCCCATGGGCCTGGGAATGGGTGATGAGGAGGGAAGTGTTGATACACCATCTTTGACAGGTGACCAAGCACAGGGGGACCCCAGGCACCAGCTGGGGACATTCCCTGGGAGGTGGCCTCATGTTTGGGCTGCTGAATGTCCTGGGTTTGGAGCTAGTGGCATGGCTGGGAGCTTGATATACCACCCTGTGGGCTCATCCCCATCCTGCCCCGGGATTCTGGCAGGGTCTGGGGAGTGCCCAGTGCTGGTGGCTGGACAGGAGAGAGAGCTGGGGGCACTGGGGGTGACTGCACTGATGTGCTCTCTTTGCATCTCTCACAGAACTGTTTGTAATCTCTTTTTAGAGAGGGGAGCCGAAGATGCCCTCCCTGGGGGGTGGGTGTTGTGCTCTGCTGATGTCCCTGTGCCCATCCTGTGCAGATCAGGAGCTGCAGCTCCCAGTTCTTCTTCCAGTTAAGGAAAACACCCACAGTTATTGCAGATGGCTTCTGGCCAAGAGCTGTTGCTGGGACAGGCTGTTCGTAGTCTTGCTGTCTAACACAGTTCTCTTACCACCTGAAAATACCTGGCTGCCCAGATTCGTGCCTTGGAGGGGGCTAAGCTGGGATAATTGACAGCCTGAACTCCTGAGGGTCCATCTCAACAGTGACCTGCAGTGTCTGCCAAAGCCCTGCAGACTGGGGGAAAGGAGGGAGGCGAGTCAAGAGAAATAAAAGTTGAATAAATATTTGCTCTGTGGCATCTACTGGAGAAATTCCTCCAGCAGGAAAACACACTGCAAATAAAGATACCCTGTGCTGCTGGCTCTGCTTCCACTGCCAGACAGCTCAGCTTGCTTTTGCCTCTTTGGGGATCTCAGGCATCCTTGAAAATCCATCCTAACCACTGTGCCCTGAGTGAGGGATCCTTTTGGTTGGTGGGAGCTGGGTCTCAGGGAAAGCAAAGCCATTTCCAACCAGTGCCCAAGGCTGCATGTGGAGGAGGGGAACCCAGGGACATCAGACAGGGCTGCTCAAAAAGCCACTCAGGAAGTGTCATTAGGGCTTGGGCTAATTATGGTCTGGGTGGTAGTTGGAGGTTTGTGAAATAGGAAGTGTTTCTAGCTGCATGGCTGCTTTGCTCAGTGAAGAGGGTCTCGGTGATGTGCAGGAGGGGATGCACCTGCAGTGCCTGTCTCTTGTGGGGAGAAGGGCATTGCAGGTCAGGAGGGCACAGGCTGGGCACTGAGGAGCCACTGCCATCACACAGCACCAAATTACATCAATTAGGTGGCTGCAGACAAGCTCCAGTGATTCCCTGCCAGTGGTTTGGGGGGTTGGCCCCTCTCACAGAAGTGTCTGTCACATAGAGCCAGGACTGGCCTAGGGATGCTTGGTGGGAGATGCTTGCTCTAGTGGGTAAATCAGGTGTGGTGGCACCAGTGACAGCAGTGGCTGTGATTTCCTGTGCTCTGACTTAGACTGGTTATCTGCAGCACATCCTGTCTCCCTCCCTCATCAGGGGACTCCTTAGATTTTATCTGTTAACACTGGTGAAGTTTCACTTCTCAGATGATTGATGTCACCCACAAAAACTTTGGTTTGATTTGTCACTGTTCCTTAGTTTTGGAAGGAGGGTTTTAATTCCTGTCTTTGTGCTAGTCCAGGTTCCTCCCGTGTAACCTCTGCTGTTGTTTTGCATTGAGCAGAACGTTGAGTCATCTGCAGCCTCTGTGATAACTATAATTAGGAGAAAATGCATTTACGAAGCTCTTTCCTGTGATGCAAGCACGTCATTGTCCTTGCAGGGAAATCATTCCTGCCATGTTTCCAGGTGGGTGTGAGCAGCTACTGATTACATTTGACACTCATACTCCTTGCGTGGATTTTCCTGGCTGGATGTGTTGCCTGTGGAGGAAGTGGTAGTCTGAAGCCATCGTTATATTCTCCATTTGTGAGCATAATCCCTACTGATGTAATTAAACATAAAGGAAGAGAATATAGAATGGAGTACTGGCCAAGGAGAACATTGAGAGTGTGTCATACACCCAGATATTTATTTAGTGCTTTGGAATAAAAGTAAAAATCAACAGAAAAATATATCCCTGGAATTCTGTCAGAACATCAGCTGGAGAGGAGCTCTTGAGAGACAAATGGAGTAAAGACTCCTTGAGATGCTCAGGTCTTTTTCTCTCCCTCTTACACCTTGCAGAGCTATGCAGGGTTTAGGGTAGAGGAAGAACTGTTCATCTGATATTAAAATGCTGCTGTGCTTATCAAGATAACTGCAGGTTATTCTCAGCACACCAGAATGACTGGAGGGACAGAGCTCAGCCCCACTCCAGTGAAAGCTCATAAAGGTCTCCTTTTGCTGCAGGGGAAAAGTACTATTTAGGAAACTATCTTGATGGTTAAGTGATAGAAAATACCTCCACACATCACTGGCTGCTGTGCTTTACTCTGTCACCTTGATTGTTGCATGTTCAATAGCTCAAATTTACCAGTGCTGTGCTATTGGAGATAACAGAGATTATGGCCCAGGACTGCAGCAGCCCATTTGGCAGGGCAGGCAGGAGTTGTACCTGGAAGCATCCCAACCCTGAGGGCTCTCTGGAAGGTTTTCCATGGCTGGTTATCCCCACCTGCCTTCTGCCTTTGGTGGGGGATTTATACCCAAAAACTCCTACCCATATTGTCTTGCTGGAGTTTCTCTGACCCAGCCATGCAGGGTCCTGGAGCCTTTGATTTCCCTGTGTTTTTTTGTAGCAAGCTGGAGTCAGGGGAACCACTGTTCCTGGTGATTACAAACCAGCCCACCTTTGGTTTTGCAGCAAATGGGGATATGATTGAAGAGAACTTCCTCTCAGGGCAAGCCAGGAGGGGCTCTGAGAGTGTTTCCCAGCTGGTTGAAATGACTGAGGCAGGTCAAGCCCTGGTTACTCATTCCTCCAGCAGAGATCAGTGAGGTTTGCCAGTTTCTGTGCTATTTTGTGCACTCGTGCGTGTGCACAGTTACAACAGTTCCAACCTTCTAAACACCAGCTGAAACACTTCCAGTTCCTCCTGCCAGAGGTTAGCACTGAGCTGCTTATCTGCCTTGTCAGGAAACAGCAATAAATCCACCTCCAGCAGGTTCACCTGCCCCCCGTGTTCTGCTTTTCATTGTTCCTTCACCTCCCTCCTGTGACGGCCTATTTGCACCTTTATAAATGGGTTTGTGCTGTGTGGGATTAACCCACATTTATCATAATTCCAGTACAGAGAAACCGACGCTCTGTTTAATACAAAAGGTGACCTGGGTTGTTTCCCACATGGAGAGTGGGTGTGTTTAGCAGGGTGGAAAGCCCAGAGGTTACTGCCCTGGTACAGTGAATTCCTCTGGAGCAGAGAGAGTCTGTTAGCTCCGGCCTCTGGGTATAGAAATAATCAAATACAAATAGTACCAATAGTGGGTGCTCTTACTCAGCTTTTAACTCTGTAATTCACTGGCAAAGCAGGGAACCCAAAGTGGCATGGCTGAGGGAAGGCAGAGCGATTTGCCTACACCTGGGACTGATACTTGCAGCAGAATGTGTTTGTTTGCTCCTGAAGTCATCACTGGCTTGCTTCTCACTTACTTCCAGCCTGTAGGAGCCCTTTCCTTGAGGCTGAGAATTCACACACCAGGAATATATATTCTGTTAACATATTTTGACTCTTACTATCTAAAATTTCTTATCTGTCCAGGCTTACTTATTTTGCTTCTCTCTCTGAGCTTTTCAGTCCCATCAAATCTTGTCTCTCTGAAGAATTCCTGCATATCCCTCCTTTTTAGGAAGGGTAACATACAGAGCACCTCCCCTGAGGAGTGGGTAGAAACACCAAATAACTAATGTTTGCTAGCAAGGGGTGTATCTCACGCAGGTGCTTCCAACCTCATGGCCTGACCTTTCCTTTGTTACCTTTAAAGAGCAGTTTCTTGTTCGGGGGGGCAGAAAAGCAAACAACTCAGGTTCCTTCCTGCCTTTCCCTGCATGTGGAGCCAGTGATGTCCAAGCAGCCCGTTCCACCTTGCAGCTATGGACAGACTGAGGCCAAATAGTGTTTGGGATGAAGTTGGCATCGTTCCTAAAAGCCAGCAGAAGGGATGCACTCTGTGTCAGAACCGCTGTGCCCCGGCAGAGTTGTGCTGATCTTCATTTTATCGAGACGGGCTCGCCTTGCAAAGCCAACCCGACCCCTAAATCCTCGCTGTGCTGATGCCCAGCATCCCCCCTGCCCTTTCCCCACCTTGCTGTCCATCCCTGCAGGCCCGAGTGCCGTGTGTGGACGCTGATGCTGCTGCTGGGGACGTGCCTGCTGTACTGTGCCCGTGTCACCGTGCCCATCTGCGCCGTGGCCCTCAGCTCCCACTTCGACTGGGACAAGAAGCAGTTCGGCGTCGTGCTCAGCAGCTTCTTCTGGGGCTACTGCTTGACACAGATTATTGGAGGACACATCAGTGATCAGTACTGGAAATTATTCTCGTGTTTTCTTGTTTTAATGACACTTGGTTTGGTTTTGACCCCTCAGCTCTGAGCAGTGGCAGTGCCGAGTTTCACAGCGATGGGGTGGAGGGTCAGGCGTGTCCATGGGGAGAAGCTCTGGCTGAGAAGGGATGTGGGTAGTTCAGACTGTCCAGATAGAAGCTGTGGGTGTCTCATCCCTGGAAGTGATTCTAGGATCCTGTGAATAGAGCTTTTTTGATATGATCTGCACAGGTGATCTTTGTTTTCAGTTCAGCAATTCCAGTCTTTCTGCCCTATATTCTCTTGCAGTCTTTTCTCAAGCAAGTCCCCATACACTGTTTCCATCATGTTTAGAAAAACTGTCTCTGTTGTGTCATATGAATTAAAAACCAAACGATTTCCCCAGCTGGCTGTAAAGGAGGATCTGAATCATTACATGCTTGAGTCCCTTTCCCCAGCCAATCTATTCTTAGTGAGAGAGCTTTTCTATGAAATCTTTGGTGAGGAGCCCATGCCTGGAAGGGATGCATTATCTGTGCAGTGCACTGTGCTATTTAATTAGGGTCCTTAAGAGTTTGTAAGAAAACACCCGGAGAAACCTGAATGGTAAAAGGCAGAGCTGATGATGTAAAAGAGCAAATAGAAAACACCATCAATGGTTAAGAGAAGCAGAATGGTGGCAGCATTCAGGCTTCCCCACCACCAGCAGCATCAGAGAGTTGAGTGGCTCAGTGCTGTGAGATCCCTGGGATCAGTGAGTGCTGGAGTTGGATGGGCAGCACTGGCAGGAGGCGAGAAGGGAAAAGGTCAGAGCTACTCCCCAAGGGCCAAGAGAACAGGTTTGACCAAAAGGTTGCTCTTTAAAACAGGCTAAACTGGGAAGGGCACTTGAGTCTTGACTGGAGGACTTTGCCCTTTTGCCCTCCTATCTTTGATAATGTGTTTTCTGTCTTCCAGAATAGGAGGTGAGAAAGTTCTCCTCCTTTCAGCATCAGCCTGGGGGTTCCTCACAGTCCTCACCCCGCTGCTCACCCATATCACTTCAGCCCATCTGGTTTTTATGACCTCCTCCAGGTTCCTCATGGGGCTGCTGCAAGGTGAGGCCCCTGTCCTGACTGTGTCCGTGTGTCTGTCTGTCCAGGGGTTTCCATGCACAGAGGCTCATGTGCAGCACATTGAGATGCAAGTCCTGTGGTTTGCAGTGCATGAACCCTTCCCATGGGTGTCTGAGCAAATCTCTGCCTCAGAACTGCCTCCACAGCCAGAACTTCCAGGGGAAAAAGCAGTGACATTTCCAAAGAAAGTCACTGACAGGTCATTCCCCTGCAGAAATCTCTCTGCCAGTCAGGGACTGCTGGCTTCAGAAATCATCTCTGGTCGTGTTTGGTTTTCCACATTTTAATACTCCTTAAAAATACTCAGAGAAAATTGGCCCTTGCCAAAACTTTTGGATAATTTGGAGTGATTTTCCTTCCCTCATGCAAGCTGCAGCACTGGGAAGTGCATTGGCACTGATGGATTTACAGTAGCAGTGGTGGTGATGAAACGGGATTAGGGAGAAAGCACAAACCAACCTTTGATGGCGATGGATCCACTCAGTTTATTTTATATCCCTGTTTTGAATTCGCCAAAGGTTTGGCTGCTTTGTTTCAGTATTTAGCTCACTCTGTATCTTTTAAATTTGCTTTTGGTTTGCCTTACTGCTCCCTGCCTTGCTGCTGTTTCTCTCAGGGGTGTACTTCCCATCCCTGGCCAGCCTGCTGTCCCAGAGGGTCCGGGAGAGTGAGCGAGCCTTCACCTACAGCACGGTGGGGACTGGATCCCAGTTTGGGTGAGTTCAAAGGCCTTTGAGCAGCCAGTGACAGTCTCTGGGTCTCTGGACATCGTGTGTGATGAAACGCCATTAAATAGTTGGAGGCAAAACTCCCAGCCCAAAGTACATGTGGATTCATGGGTCCTCAAGGACTCTGGCTGCAGCTGAGGGCCTCAGGCAGTTGCTGTCCTGCCTGCCAAGGATTTATGTATTGTTTTCTCTTTCTTTTCAAAAAAGAAAAGCTGTTTGCAACATTTAATTACTATGGGAAACAGCCCAATAGGAAGAGCAAGAGTCAGTCTGACACTGGTCACCTGTCCTCTCTGATAGATGGGAAGAATAGAACTTTTCCATCTCTGCTGATCTCCATCAGAATATCCTTTCTAAATGGAAGGGTTGCTTAAAAGCTGAATAGAAATATCATTGTGTTGAATAATTTAGTTTTCCAATGTTCCCATTTATTTTGCTGCTTTACACATTCCCTGGGATACTGCACACCAGCAACCTCCTTTTCTATCCCCACTCACCATTTTTCAGCATGGGGCAGCTGAGGGTGAGTTCCCTTTGGGATTTCTCCTGCCAGTGAGGATCTGGCCCGAGATGCCACTGAGGGAACAGGACGTGTTGCAGAGCCATGGGGGACTGGTGGCAGCACCCACACATGCAGTGACTGAGAAATTCTCCCCTGTGAGGATGGGGAGGTCCTGGCACAGGGTGCCCAGAGAAGCTGTGGCTGTCCCATCCCTGAAGTGTCCAAGGCCAGGTTGGATGGGGCTTGAAGCAAACAGGGATAGTGAAAAGTTCCCTGTCCATGGCAGGGGTGGAATGGGATGAGCTTTAAGGTCCCTTCCACTCAACATCATTGTAGGATTCTGTGGTTCAGTGAGAGCAGCACTGACCCCAGGCAGAGTCTCCCATTGATGTGCTCAGCCTGAGCTCTCAGCCAGGCCAGTAAATCTGGGTGGTTTCCCTTGCAGAACGCTGCTGATTGGTGGTGCAGGATCTCTCCTCCTGGAGTGGTACGGCTGGGAAAGTGTTTTCTACTTCTCTGGTTTGCTCACTTTGCTCTGGGTTTATTGCACCTGTAAATACCTCCTGAGTGAGAAAGGTGAGTCCAGCTGCATCCCTAGGGCTGGCAGTGCTCCCGAGGATCTGGGAACTAAGTGATTTCCTCTCCATTATTTCCTGCAAATCCTGTGTGTTTCCAAGATCATGCCTGGTTTTGCACAAAGGCCTTTTGTCATATGTATTCTATAATACAAGATCCCCAACCCAAAAACCCAAAAAGGATTTGAGCTCTTGCAATGCTGATTTCCTATTTCAAGTCCCACACTGGATTATATCATTGCTGAGAGCCTGATCTGGCTCCTCAGTACTATTTAAGCACCAGTGAAAACACAAAGCAGAGCATGATCTTCAAAGTGGATTAAGCTAAAGCAGGGCAAGATACTTACTCTAAACTAAGAGCATCTACACACAGAGCTTTTAAAAACCAGTTAATCCACAATATCTCTTCCCAAATAACTGCCTAGGAGTAATTCCACATATGGACAAACCATTACACCTGGTACAGCATTATTAGGGTGAGCCTGGTATGTAGCAGTCCAGCTCACTGGGAGCTGGGTGTGTGCCTGGTGCTGCACAGAATCCAAACCTGGTGCCTGCCAAGGGACTTTGTTTAATTGTAAGAGTTATAGCACATGGGTGAAGGTGGCTGGGTGGGGAGGAGAGTGGAAAAATTTTGGTCAGTGTAACAAGGTGTTTTCATGAGTATTCAATGCTGGTAGAGCCTAAAAGCCAAGGGTTAGAAGGAGGTTAAAAGTGGTTGTACAGCCGTGTCCCAGGGCTGTACAGGTAATTACTGGCCACAGCTTTCCTTTGGATGTTCTCTTCCCTGCAGAACTCACCATCCCCATGAACTATTTAACCAGAGGCCTCTCCATACCCAAGCAGACCAAAGTTCCCTGGAAGCAGCTCTTTAGGAAGGCACCGATCTGGTAGGCAGCTGCATGCATTGGCCAGGCTGGGAACACCCTCTTGTTTTCTCCTCTCTGGGCTTATTTCTTCTGCCTCTGTGAGTTTTGCCCACTTATTTATATATTTGAGAAGCAGAACCAGTTTCCTAATTCCTTCTGTATAAATAAAGAACTGAAAAGGTAAGCTTGGCAATGGTGGTTTATGTTGTGTCCAGAGGACTGTCAGGCTCGAATGTTACTGGCAAATCTTTCTCGTTCCCAGGCTGTTCCCCCTGGATGAGTCCTGTGCTCCTCCGAGTGATGTTTTCCACGGCTCTTGTTAGAAATGCTGATTGTAATGGGCTCCTAAGAAGTGCTGCTCAGGGGCACTGGGTGGCACGGGCTGTGCTCTCATTGCTGGCAAACATCTTTTTAATGGCCATTTTTCCTTTGGGATGCTGCACGGGGCACTGAAGCTCATCCAAGCGTGTTCCCAAGGGCTGTTTTAAGGCGGGAAGGATGATGGGGCTGCAGGGCAGCAAACCCATTCCTGCCTTGAATAACAATGGAACTGATAACACATCCCTAGAAAACCCTAAACAACAGCCTCGGAGCTCTTGCAGGGCTGGAAGGGGCCGGTGGGAAATGCAGTGCCATAATTAGCACTTCAATTAACCTCGCCTGGCCCCGGGGCTGTGCAGTGGGGCAGCGAAGGAACCAGCTGCAAGGAGAAAGCTGAAAGGAGTGGTTATCTGTGACAAAAAGCCTCAGGAAGCCAAAAGGAGTGGTTATCCATGAGAAAAATCTCAGGGATTTCTGTTAGGAGCTGAAATAGCAGTGCCCGTTTCCCAGGCAGCACGACCTGTCACTGCTGATTGTTTCCTCTCAGCTCTGTATTTTCAGGGCTGTCATCATCGCTCAGCTCTCCACGGCCAGCACCTTCTTCACCCTCCTCTCCTGGCTGCCGACTTTCTTTAAAGAAACTTTTCCCGAGTCCAAGGTAGGTTGGCTCCAAAGCAGAGGCATTGCCATCCAAAGGAGCTGTGCTGGGTACCTGCCAAAAGGGATGGAGAGGGAGGAAGATGATGGCAGAGGGGTTTGGTGAGAGCAGCCTGGGAGGCAGGAGGAGGTGGGAGGTTTCCCTGCGGGGTGAGGAGTCCTGGCACCCCTGCACATACTTCTGGAGATCTCTCCAGGTTGCAGAGGTTTCTAGTTTCTTGTTCAGGGATGCTGAAGGATGCAGAGAAGAGCAGGTTCTATTGGGTTATAGACTGCTTTTCTTCTGAGGAAAATATATTTTCTATATATATATTTTATGTATGTATATGTATTTGTATGTATATGTATTTTATGTATCACAAAACTCATGACATTATGCTGTTGCAGCCACCATTCACTCCTAGTTTTTTTTACAGGATTTTTAACTGGACTAACATTGTACAGCTTAGACCTGCTTTTGAAAATTATAATTATCATTAATAATGTGTACTTCAAATATACTACAGAAGCTCCCCTCTCCTCAGCACTAATGATACTCCCATGTTTCAGAAAGCTAGGCAGTACTCATCTGGGCTGAGAGCTGGTATTTTCATCTCTTCTCAGAATCTCAGTCTTCTCTACAATGGCTCTGTTAGGTTTTTACAATTTCCAGAGCTGCTTACAAATGCCTTTTCATATTACACATGTAAAGCTCTTTATGGCATACTTGATATTTATATTAAAATCATGTGTTAAACCAGCAAACATATTGTTGTGACAAGATCTGTGCACCTCGAGTAATGTGCTTGTGCAGCAGTAATTTACCATCTGTTAGGCATTATATCATGGTGCCCTTATGTAAGATGCTCTACAGAGTGCTCCTGCAGCTGATAATCACTCTGTGCAGTTAAAAACAGGGGCTGAGGCTGCTTGATTTTAAAGGATGGATGAGAATCCCGAATGTGGGGAACCTGTGTCACCTGCTGGCCAAAATCCCTTGCTGCAGGTGAGCTGTGCCACCTGAGTGAAGGTGATGGAGGGTTTGGCTGAGGGTGATGGGCTGTGGGATGCCACAAGGTTGGGATTGATGTGCTGAGCAGCCCCAGCTGTTAGCAGACAGCAGAAGCACCACCCCACAAAGCCCATGGGCTAACATTGTCAAAAGTGACCAAGACCCAAATTTCAAAGGCATGGAAAGATGCAGATGGACCCTGGTGTGATTTCCAGGAGCAGCTTTAACAGGATTATTCAAAACCAAGATTATTAAGCCTTCCCATGCATCCCAAAGCCAGACAGGAAGGGGAGATGCCTCCACAGTTTGATGGGCTCTGAGCAAAGGGGAGATGCTGGGGATGATGGATACATGGATGGATGAGTAGGTTCAACCAGCTGAGATGAAATCCAGCCCAGCCCACACTGATTTCAGCTCCTGTGGGATCTGGGCACCGAAGTGCCCCTGAGCAGCTGTAATCCAGCTGACCACTAATGGTCTGTGATTACAGCTACAGCTCACTTAATTGAAAATAGGCCGAAGGATGTTGCTATCCATAATGTTACCTAATCCTGCCATTAGAAAATCCAGCTCTGCTCTCTGTCTCACACTGTAATGCTGCTAATGAACTGGAAGCTGCTGGAAATTTTGCCAGCAGCTTTGCTGGGCACCCACAGGAAACCCACACTGAGCTTCCTAGGGCTCTGTGGCTCCCCACCACATCATCTTGCTGAGCAGTTAACTTTGCCACATTTAATCCCTCTTTCCCAGAGTTTTTTGCCTCTCCCCTTGATGCAGCATTGCTGGGAAAGAAGGAAAGAAAAAAAAACAGATTTACAAATGCTACAGCCCTGTGATGCACCTGCTCCTTCACAGAGCTTGGAGTGGGGCATGGTGCAGCTGAGAGCTGGCTCTGCAAAGGGGATAGAGGTGCTGCAACAAGTCCTGAGTGCTTCGTTATTTCTCCTTTCTACAGGTACCACGGACTGTCAAAATATTAGCAAACAAACTCAGCTCTGACAACAAATCTCTCTTGATTTTCACTTCTTTTCAGGGCTGGGTGTTTAATGTAGTCCCCTGGCTGGTTGCAATCCCAACGAGCTTGTTCAGTGGATTTCTGTCTGATCATTTAATCAGTCAAGGTGAGAGCTCTGTGTGGCTTTTCCTCAGCTCTTTTGTGATGTGGGAGGAGGTGGGCTTGCTGGTAGGGACAAGACCTAGCAAATACACAATGTGAGGTTCTGACACAAAAGCAAAATAAATTCTCCAGTGTCCAAATCCCATCCACATGTTTGGGGCTCCCTTTGACCTCATTCATAATATAATAATTTGGGCATCTGAAATCCACTCGTGCTGTAGTTTCCTGCCTGGACAACAAGGTGAGCTGTGCTTAACTCCAAATGTCCCTTTCTTCTCCAGGGTACAGAACCATCACCATTCGTAAGTTCATGCAGGTAAGAGAGCTGAAGCTGTGGGAGAGGTACCTGAGTTTCCAGTTAAACTCTGATTCTGTGACTAGACCTCGTGTGGAGCTGGGTTGGGGGTTATAGATGGAAACAGGGAAGATTTTCTGGCTTTGCACATTAGCTGATGGTCAGGATGTGTGAAAGGAGATCCAGAGGAAAACCTTGGCTGAGGAACAGATCCTGGATTAATGGAAGCATTGAGCACAGTGAGTGCTCTGAAGGTTTTCTTTCACAGCCTATCCCTGGTCATTCCAAATGATTTCTTAGGTACTGAGGAAACAGCAATACAAGGGTGAACAGAAATAGAAATGCTGGGTGAGAACACAGTGTGACTTCTTACACAGAAGGACCTTAGAGGGGAAAAAAAAAGGGAGCAGAGGGTGCACACAAACTCCTGCCATTGGAAAAGGGAAGTTTGTTCGTGGTAGGAGTTGCTTTCTTCCATACAGAAAACATGCTGTGATGTTTAATTTTCCCTTTTTTCCAGGTCATTGGCTCTGGTGTCTCAAGCATTTTTGCTTTGTGCCTGGGCCAGACCTCCAGTTTCTGCAAAGCAATAGTGTTTGCCTCAGCCTCTGTTGGACTGCAGACCTTTAACCACAGGTAAGGAGAGCCATGGGGACAGTGGCCCTCAGCTCCCCTGCACATTTGGCATTTTGGGGTCTCAGAGGAGGCATTTGGGGTCTCAGAAGAGAACAAGAGATTCTCTTGTGAGAACAAGAGCTGGCACTTGCCTGAGCCTTGTGTTTGGGACCCTGTGAGGCTGGTGGAGTTTGGTGCCCTGTGGGTTCAAGTAATCTAGCAAACCTCTAGCATGGAAGGGCTTGGACCAGCCAGTATGAGGGAAATGGAGCAGGAGGGGAATTGCATTTTGGCCCCTCTGAACGCTTTGAGTTGAATTGTTTTCCTTCTGCTGATGCTCACCTGTTTTGCTCTCAGCATCTCCCTTCTCCTGCCAATGCCATTTCTTGTCCAGGACTTTTCCTTGTGTTTGACAAAGCAAACTGAGTAAATGATGGAAAAGCAATCGTGTTCCATTCAAACAGCTATTTCTTTCCCTCCCTCTGTTCTTCACCAGTGGCATTTCAGTAAATGTGCAGGACCTGGCCCCCTCGTGTGCTGGCTTGCTGTTTGGTAAGGATTCTGTGGGGTTTCTATGCTGGAGAGGTGGCATTGCTGGGGGGACATCAAGGTTTGAGCAGGAGCATCTCTGCTCTGTGTGTGCAGTCTCAGCTTCTTTCTGTGATAAACCTGCCACTGCTGGGTGCAGGTAACAGCACCAAGGTGCCTTTTTTATATCTGTGAGGTGTTCTGCAACACTCAGGGATGGGCTGAGCTGTGTCAATGGTCTCAGTTATCCAGGGAATTTGTGGCTGCCCCATCCCTGGAAGTGTCCATGGCCAGGCTGGACAGGGCTTGGAGCACCCTGGGATAGTGGAAAATGTCCCTGCCCATGGCAAGAGGATGGAATGAGATGAGATTTAAGGTCCATCCCTGCTCAAACCAGTCAGTGATTCCATGATCAGAAAGGCATTTTGCCCAGCATGCAGACCAGGGTTTGGTGGGAGCTGTGATTAAATTGCTCATGTCTGTGGGTTTTCACAATTTCTTTTCACACCTTTTCTTCCCAGGGGTTGCAAATACAGGTGGAGCCCTCCTAGGTAAGTACTTTCCTGCAGCCCATCCTTTCCTCTCCCTGCAGAGGGCAGGATCCAGCCCAGAGCCTTGGCACGTGTTTCTCTTCTCTGCAGGTGTCATTTGTGTGTACCTGGCTGGATACCTGATCGAGACCACTGGCTCCTGGATTTGTGTTTTCAACCTGGTGGCTGCTGTGAACAGCATTGGGCTCTGCACATTCCTCCTGTTTGGAGAGGCCCAGAGGGTGGACACACATTCTGTGTATGTGGATCTTTAGAGATGAGCCCAAGGAGCAGCTGAAGGACAGGAAAGTGTCACATCTATGGATCATTCTTGCACAAGTGCCAAAGAACATTTTACTTTTTTTTTTTTAGGTGTTTTAACAGGATAAAATATGCTGAAACCAAGTACATAATGGGTCTGGATGAAACCCATGGGAGAAAAGAATGTTAGAGTTCATTTTTTTTTGCTCAGGGCTGTAGCTGGTGGCTTGCAGAGCCATCCAGCTCAACATTTCCAGTGAGGATGTGCTCTGTGGGACCAGTTTGTCCCAGTCTGTGTCTCGTGGACAAATATCCTTGTGGCCAAAGCAGCTGACCTGGCCTGTTTCCCCAGGCTGCTGTGGTTCCATGCCCTCTTGAGGGGAGCTGCTTCTCCATGTGGGAGTGGGGCTCCCATGCTCTGCTCTCCTGGGGCCACCTGGCTCTGGGGCTGCTGTGCCACCAGGTGTCCTGTGAGGTGTGACAGGAGCATCCCCACGAGTACCTCTGCCCTTAACCCTGTGTGCCTTCGTTCTGCAGCAGGTACCAGCCAGGTTCCCAGGGCTGTGAGCTGAATTCCAGGCTTCCCTTCAGGGGATGTGTGGCTGGATGTGCCCTGGAGCCAGGGCCTTGGGGCTGTGTCAGTGCTGCTGTCACAGAGCAGGGACAGGGCTCCAAGCCAAGCCTGGCTCTGCTCAAGCACCCAAGATCTCCCTTCTCTTCCTGGTGGCTTCACCCCAGCCCTGAGCCAGGTGCAGCTCCACCCTGAGAGCAGAGCTGAGCTCAGGTCAGGATTAGCTGGGCTGATCTTGCAGTGCAGCAACAGCTGAGGAATCCCTCTGGAGCTGTTTTGTCAAATGCTGTGAATGTATGGGAAGAACTGGTCACACTCTGTGCTGTGGATCTACAACTCCCAAATGCTTTCTGCATGATTACATGTGTCCCCCTCTTTGTGCTCTCACAGGGCTGAGGGAGACTTTCCAAAGAGCTTGGCATGGGCAGGTTTTGTTTCTATGTTAAGCATAAATCAAATTTCTCCATTGGGCATCCACAGGGATGTGGATCCCTGTGGTTCCCAAGGGGGAAATACTTGGCTGTAGACACCTCTGAGCCTGAATGTCTTAAAGTTATTTATAACTATTTTAAAATTTAAGCATCAAATCCTATATTTTATGTACTTGAGGCCTGATTCTGCATGCTTGTTTTGAGTGGTACTCCCACCAAATCCAACACTGTTTCTCTAAGGGGAGGATCTACCAGCCCCCAGTGTTTGGTTCTGTAGGATCAATTTTAAAGGTGAATTTCATATTAAAGCAATTCATTGCTTCTCCTCTAATCCCTTGATTGCAGCCTGAAAAGATCTCTTGGGTTTCTCTAGTGCTTACCAGAAAACTCAGGCTGAAGAGCAGGTTTCCCAAGGACCTTGCAGTGCAGGAAAGCTATAGGTTCAGGTTAAAAAAAAATCCCATTATCCTCTTCCTCACCTTTTTATTTCGGCAAAATTTCGTCTTGGAAGACCTGTTGGAGCCATGTAAAGTTTCTGAATAGCCTGGTTTGTAGTGAAAATACTGACAGCATTTTAATTGCAGAGGCAGTAATGGGCATCAGTAAACTGAGCTGAGCCACTTACTGGGCAGAATTAGAGACAAGGATGCAACTGCCTGATGTCTCCCCAGGAGAATAAAGAATCAATGTGGCCTGACAGGGGACAGAGAGATAAGAAAGTATTTTATTTTTCTCCTTCTGTGGTCTTTTATCTCTGAAAGGCCGTTTGCTACCATAGGTACCACTCTGTATTGGGGTGCTGCAGAGCCAGGTGCTGGGAAGGGTAAATTGGGAAGAACACCCAGTAGCAGCAAACAGACACAGCCAGGCTTGCCAAAGAGCCCTGAGGCAGTGCAGCCATCTCTGTCAGCTTGTCCTTTGTCCAGTCTGAGCAGATTGCTTGCATGGCCTTTTCTATAGAAAAAAAAACCAACCAAACCCTCATGGGTTTTGTGGGGTTTTAGAGTATCTTCCCTGGCCATTCAGTGCTGCAGGTCAGGAGCACAGAGAATCAATTCTGGTTCTCTTTGCTGGTTACACCATTTCTTGTGGAGGAGTTAATGAGCTTTAATCACTCACGTTTGAATCAGGCTGCTTGGCCACCCCTTGGATCTGCCAGCTTGGAAATTTGGAACTGATCTTCAAAGGAAAGTGTTTGGCTGTGCCTTCTCTGTGAATCCAGCTCACATTCCAGTGAGCTGTCCAAGTTATCTGTCTCTGTTACTGGCTAAGAAGTGAAATGTTTGACCTACACTTGAGGCTTATGTTTCATCATCATACCTCTTCAGTGAATATTGAAACCATTTTGCATATCTGTACTGTTATTTGTTTAGGCCAAAGCTTGTGGTCTGAGAGATTTTGCTATGGAAGGACCTAGAAAAAATAAAGGCAGCGAATCATTTGCAAACTGTGGTTTTCCTTTGACTGCAGAGGTGTTAATTTGTGTGATCAGTGAGGGACAGAGGAGTGTATTTGATGTGATGAACTCCCGGGGGAGGCTGTGCAGGGAGAGGATCTGGGCTGGCAGATTTTCACAGCATCCTCACGTGTACTTGTACATCAGACTCGGAGTTCATCCAGCTCCTTCTTCTCACTGAGTCGGGAAAAATGAATGAAAAGCTGCCTTCAGCAAAGGTGTGGACAGTAAAGCATCAGCAGCCGTGATCCAATATCACTTGTTAAGAGCAATGACACAAACGAAGTGATTCTTGGGTGAGGTGGGACACACCCCGCAGGGAGATCACCTTCCACATGGCAATCATGCTAAAAAACGAATAAAAATACATTTCCACCTTTTTATAGATCCTCTCTGATAGGTTCGAGCAGATGCCAACAGAGGGAGCTGTGAGATCTGGGATGTGGCAGCTCCTGGCTGGTGAGAGAGCTGAGCCCAGCCCTAGCACAGCTGGCACAGCTGGCACAGCTGGCACAGCCTGGCCCTGGCTGGTGCCTCTCGTGGCTGGGGCTGCCTTTGGGAGCCCCAGGATTTGCTGTCCCAGCGTTCACTTTCACCCCTCACAGGACAATCGCAGATAGTGTAGGGAAGAAAAGTTTTGGGCACATTTTAAAAGGAGAAATAGCCATTAAATGAATTTTAACACCTCATCCGTAGGGTCATGTAATCAAGAGAATCTCTAAGTGCTGTAAACCCCTTTTGATGTTCTCATTAATGTGTTCAGAAAAAAGCCAACATGAAACATGGTGGTATGAAAATGATGCTGAGGATAATTGAGCAGAGTGCAAATTATCTTCAACTCTCCCTGTCTTTTTGCTCCCCTTACAGAGTTATCAAAACCTCTGACATGCACATTTGAGCTTTTTTGACCTTTTAGGTTATTTAGGTGATTTAAACCTTTTCAGCTCCAAGAAGGCACAGACCCACCTTAAAGCCTGCCCTTCTTCAATGTGCAGAGCCTGAGAGAAAAGAAGGGTTTGTTTGATTTTTTTTAAACATTTTCTCTCTTTTTTCCCCCCCCTTTCCTTTTTAAAGTCTTTTTTCAGCCACATTCCTTAAATTGTCAGTGTCCCAGGTTGGATCTCAGCTTTCCAGCCTGTCCTGAGCAAGCAGGGGCAGGCACAGTGCAAAAGGGCTTTAAAGGCTCATCAGTGACAGGTACCTCGTATTGCTGCTGGGAGTTGGTTTGTATTTAAATTCCTTGGGATATATTCCATAGCTGGCTAGAGATCATTAGAAGGATCCTGTTTTATTGCAGTTTGCATAACACTAAATCGATAAATACATTCAAGCAGATGGAAAGCAAAACACAGGAGGAGAATGGCACTATTTGGAGGAGAAAAGGGATAGCAGAGAGCACTCCTCACTGGTAGTTTTGCCTGGAGTACACAAGCAGATGCTCTCACAGCAGAGATCTGATCTAGCATCCACCTGGCAGCTCCCCAGGGCTGGGACATGCCCCAAAGACAGCAGCTCTGAAAGGGCACCCAGCCCTGTAACAAGCAAAATATCACCATTTATTGCAGCCGTGACCTACTGCATGGCAAGTAATGAGGAATTTTCCATTTCAAACTTTAATGCAATAATTAGACGTCCATTAAGGTCTTTACAGTTTGGCTGATTGTAATTAAAAATGGAGTGATGGGGGGGCATGGCAGGGAGTTGCAGTCCAGGGCACCAAGCTCCCACCACAGCTCATGTGCTCTCCCTTTTCTTCTCTCTTTGGTTTCTCTCTTCAAAACAATTTTTCTTGTTTGGGTTGTAACTGTCCCCAGAGCATGAAAAAACACATGAAGAACAATCTTAGTTCCCACAAGTACAAGTTTGGTTTAAAAAAGAGCTTTTACCTTCTACCAACACCTCCAAAACCCTGATCCCCCTGCAGTGCAGTTTGTGGGGGTGTCTCTGAGCAGTGCTGGGGGTTTTAGGGTCCAGTTGATTTCCAGACTGGTGTGGCTCCTGCTTACACAGTTCCTGGTGCAGGATTAAGGATGGGGTAGGTTTTAATCCAATAATGGAATGAGATGAAACCCCCATATAAACCCACATCTTCCAAAGTGTCTCTGCTCCTGGGAGGCCAAAGTCCCATTATCCAGTAATTGGATTTGGCCTTCTAGAACAGGACTGAAAGACTATAAAATTTTGTTCCCAAATCACCAGATTTTTGCAAAGGATTAAGAAAAAATAATGATTTGACTGAGGAAGTAGCTGCCAGAAAAGCTTTGGCTGATCCCCTGAATCCCTTCCCGAATTGCTTTCCCTTGCTCTTTGCAACTCCCAATATATGAGTGACTTGCTCTTGTGTCTCCAAACACAATGCTGGGCATGATCTTGTGCAACTTTGACATTCCCAATTCTCTAAAAAAAAAAATGTTTTTCATTTCAGCTCCAAAGGAAAAAAAGATTGCAATCCCACTTCCATGGAAGACAATGGGAATGAACACGTGTAGCAATTACCAGGAGGATTTTACACAAAGAATTAGCAACCTACTCGCGCATGTCCTGCATTCTCATTAAAGGCAAACTGTTTGTAGGTGACAGGGGATTTTCCTGTGCAACCATCTAGGCTCATTGCAGCTGTTAAATTCCTTTCATGTCGGGTTTTCTCACCCCTCTCCTACCAAGTTTCAGACAAACCCACTCATTTACAGCCTCTCCTGTGTGTGAGCTACAGGTGGGGTGGATGTTCCATGAGTCTCATCCTCAGCCCTTCAGATGCTCAGAGCTGCTGTGGACCCTAGTTGGGCACAGGAGCTTTTCTATATTTTGCTTTAATTTTGCCCCAAACGTGCCCACAAACCTGGTGTCACGAATTTTCTGGTTTCAGTCACCTTTGTGTGGTTTTGCTGCTGAGCTAACCCACTCCTCAGAGCCTGCAGATCTCCCTCCAGCTCCTCCATCCCCCTGCCCCGTTCCACAAAACCCCTTGGGAGGTTTTGGGGAGCAGACAAGGTCCCCATGTGTCCCCAGGCTCATGGGAGGGAGCATGTGTCCCCTTATTGTCATCCCAGACCCTGGTCACTCACTGATTATTTAGCAAAATTAACCCCCTGAATAAGAAGTATTATCAGCAGGAGCATAATCAGATATCAGAGAGGAGGTCTTCAGATGAGTAATTTATTGAGATCTCTTATTTAATTTTATT